CTCCTCCTTCTCCTCCTCCTCATCATCTGCCAATGGTTGGAATGAGCTCAGCTTTCAGCTCCTTTCCCACCCAACCCTTTCTGTGTTTTATTCTCTGAGGCCACAGCACCTCTTGAAAGAGTAAAAGCTCTTTTTTTTTTTTTGAACTTTTTTTTTTGACTCTTCAGACCAAAATCACTGTAGGAGTTTGCCTGTTGTCCATTCTGGAACTGTTGCCCAGGTGACAATTATTACATTTTATTTCTTTATGCCACTTTTGCCATAGCTCAAAGCCAGAGAGCTTTTGTGCTAAATGCATTTTTATTGCTGTTTTTTTTGAGGTGCTTAAATAAATAGAAGTTATGCTGTAATAATACAATAGATACAGCAGTATTTTACCCAAGTAAATGAGCTCCCCAGCCAAACTCACAATGCCATTTCTGTCCTGGGTGTGGGAGATTGGCATTTAATTCTCAGTTTATTTGCTGTGGGATCTCAGTACAGAATCACAGAATGGTTTGGGTTGGGAGGGACCTTAAAATTCATCTCAATCCATGGGCAGGGACCTCTTCCACATCCCAGGGTGCTCCAAACCCTGTCCAGCCTGGTAGGGATGGAGCTTCTCTGCTCAAACTGCTCCAGTGGCCTTTGCAGAGGAGGATGCAGGGTGTTTTTTGGTGTGCTTTGTGTGCTTTTTGGGTTGGAGTGTGCTTTTTGGGTTTTTGGTGTGCTTTGTGTTGTTTTTGGGTTTTTGGTGGTGATTTCCAGGCTGGCAGCAGGCAGGGCTGGCAGGGGAGGGCACAGGGATCTGTCCCTTCCCAATGTCCTTCCTCCACATCCCCAGGTGGGAGCCACAGGGATCAGCTGCCAGCTCAGAGCAGGATATTTTCTGTCCTTGCACATTTCATGCTCTGTTGATCACTTTAGGTGATGCACATGTTTAAACATGTGCCCAGCAAGGGTTTTGGTGAGGGGAATTCACATTCTAATTAGTTTTTCCCTCCAAGCTTTGGGAGCTTGGTGTGCTTTATGGGGTTTCAGTATATAAAATTTGACTGATAAAAAAAAAGGCTTTGAAACTTCCCCCATTGTTTCAGAGAGCCTGGTTGTATCTTGGAATGCTACAATTCCTGTGGTAAGAAGGAACCCAGTGCATTGTACAAAGAAATAATTATTACAGAAAGCTAAGCCAGTATTTTTACTAGCTTTGGGGTATCATTTAACTTGATTTTCATAAAAATCAGATGATACTAATTTTATGGATTTCCATTACTGCCACGTAGTAAAAACAGTGTGGGTTGGGTGTTTTTTTTTTTTTTAATATCCATATCTAATGTTTCTCTTCTGCAAATTAAAGTTTGAGAAGCAAACAATCCTGGAGATTTTTCCCTCTGAACCCCAGAGCTCGGATTTCAGTGAGTTTGTACTTTCTGCTACTTCAGTGCATGAAACTGTAAACCAAAACTTCTGTAGGTGAAGGCAGCAGTACATTTGGGATCTGTGATTAAATCTGCCACAAAGCAATGTGGGATCACTTTAAAGGCTGAACTTGAGGGCTGACCTGACCTCATACCTGCAGCAAGTTTTTATCTCTCTCTGAGCTCTGCTGACTTTCCAAGGAGTTATGGAAAGAGGCATTTCCATGAGAAGAGTTGGGGTTGATTTAGATCAGTTTATTTCTTTTGCTTAGCCCAGGCTTTGCTTTTCTTTTCTAATCTGTAATGCAAAAAGTAAAGCACAGATTTGTAGGCTTTGACTCCCAGAGCACTATTTGGTTAATCTGACATGTTACTTTACTCAATTTGAAATATTTAAAGTGATGTTTCTTCTGAAATCCTAGATGCTCTCTGTTTTGTTTTATTTAAGTAGGCTTTGGTGTTTTGCTCATCACTGTGGTATCTGCAGCTAACAGAGCATTAATTTATTTTGCAAAAGAAAGTGTACTTCAAAAAAAAAATTAATACTGGGCATAATAACTCTGTAGGACAGTCCAAAACCTTGTGGAGATATATTGCTTTGATTATGCTTTCATTTTGGAGTAATTAAATAATTATAACTTAGAGACCCAGCTCACAGCTAATTAAATTTTAGACTATTTGATACATGTAGAGAGTAGGATTAATTTAGCCAGAGTAAAGCCTATAAATTTTAATCTAAGAAGTCTGCTGTTTAGGAAAATTGATGGTAATTTAACTAAATCCAAACAATTTGTAAAGCATACAGTATTCCCAGTGAACAATTTATTCTCAGACTTAGAAAAATTAAGTCAACAAACTCACTGAAAATTTCAAGTTGAGCTTGAAAGCAGAATGCAGCTGAGCATTCATCCATTTTTGCCACTGGATATTTAAATTGATGGTTGATTAATGAAGCATGGCCCATGATGTTGCTTCTCACCCTGTTTTTTCCATGGCAGCTGCAGACAGAACCATATTAACTCTTTGGGAAAGTGATATTGTTTCCTTTTAGATCTTGCTTTTGTACAATAAAAGGCTTGGTAGGTGGAAGTTCTGCACTTCAGTCCCAGTCAGTAACCAATTGTTAGGGGGATTATTCTTGTCCTTGCATTGTCCTTATTTAACTGCATGAACTTGCATCATGTTTTGACCCACTGAAAATAAGATTTGTGAATATTCCAATGTGTCTGTCTAGCCCATATCACTCCAGGCTAGAAGACTTGGCCTATTACTTCTTGTTTGAATAAAAAAAAAAAAAAAAGAAATCTTTCTAAGATCACAAACCCAGGATCCAATACAAACATCTGCAGTAACAAAAATTCCTTCTGTAATCACCACCGAATTGTTCCCGGGCTCCGTGTTCCTTATTGTTTTAAGCAGCATTGGTGTATCAAATGTGAATGTAAATATTATGTTGTAAATTTAGAGTGGGAGGAAAAACCTGCAGCATTGAAGCACAGGAGTGTTTAGGTTGGAAAAGTCCTTTAGGACACAGAGTCCCACACTGCCCCAATGTCCCCGGGTGCCACATCCACAGGGATGTTAAACCCCTCCAGGGATGGGGACTCCACCCCTG